ACATACTAATCAGAAAATTAGAAAAAATCCTCAAAGCACCTTAAGTTTTGATTTAATAAGTTGTTTCACTTTAATAAGTTATTAAACATGTCGAAATATATTTTGTTTTCTATTAGTATGTGTGCTTTCCTTTCATCCAGTTAATCAATTTTTTTAAATAATATTTTCTCTTGAATATTCTCGCGCCACCCCTCTAGTGTGCTCGCGCTCCCCTAGCGGGGCGCGCCCCACAGGTTGAGAATCGCTGCCTTAGAACATTTTTAATCATAGAAGCACTTAGCCTTGAATGGGAGACACTTTAGTCTTATTTGTATTTAATGTGATTTTTCATATTTTTACCATTTGATGTTTTACCTGACCTTACTTTTATATGTATTTTTGACACTTTTACTGTTAGTCAATTTTAATGACTTAGATGTTTTAAGCACTTTTAATTTTTATTCTGTTTCATTTTTATCATCTTTTCGATTTTGGGATTTTTCCTATGTGTATCAATCTTTTTAGTTTTGATTTTACTTTTCTGTAGTTTTGTTGTGTTCAGTTCACGTGACAACGGGTGAGACCCTCATCCGCAAACTCCTTCGGGGGTAGGTCGGTTACTATTAGTCTTACTCAATTTTTGCATTTTCCAATTAAAATTACATTCTTCAAAATGATTTAAAAATTCTATACCTTACAATTCAAAAATTTTTAGATAATTATTAAATAAAATAATTAAAAATATTAAAATTTACTAGAAGTTAGTTTTTGCATGGAATTATCTTTGTAGAAGCGGGCTGCATAATTGCACGCAAAATTTTCTTAATTCTCTTAAAAAGTTCTCGAGATACAGCAAAATACGAAAAAAAAAATTAAAAGTAACATTAATTGGTCTAAATTTCGGAGAGCTCTCATCACCAAAATATTGGGACCATATTTTTTGAATTACGGCTATCGCCCTATATTTTGGGGGTAAGAAATCCGAATTCGTCGTAAAAAAGGCATGTTTATTCAGAGAAAGTAAGTTTTTGTGTCTGATTTCGAAACTTAAAGTTTCGTCTGCACTTACTAACTAGCATATTTGAGATCACTTTCTCAAACCATTAAGATTGAGTCCTAGAACGTGAAGATTCGATTATCAAATCAGAAGTTATTCTGGGTGAATTTTGAATTGCTTAGTGCGGAAAAAATTGTAATAAAAATAAAAACAACATAAAATTTTTTAATATCTTCGGTTCTGTCATCGTACTTAAAATTAAGGAAGACTACGTGTTTTAAAAATAATTTCTACTTGGCTAAAACTTATGAAATAAACACGATTTCGTTTTTTATGCTTGATTGAAAATTTTGAATTACCTAAATAAATTAAATTCTGAGCAATAATTTAATTTTTCACGTGCGCTCATTAGAAAAAAAAACATTTAATTTATTTAGGATATCTCAAACCATCAAACAAGTATAAAAATTAAAATTAGTTCATTTCAAAAGTTTCAGGTAACTTAATTTGTTTTAAATAAAAAATATGATTTTGCAAATTTTAATTAATTTCTAGTACGATACGTGAAAGGAAGATATTAGAAGGAATAATTAAATTTTTTATGTTGCTTTTATTCGTATTACAATAATAAATTTTTTCAAACTAAAGCGTTCTGAAATTCAAATTTTTTTTTTTGTTGCAATCTACAGCATACCTACAGAATACGAGTTTCGATTTTTATAATGTTTTATCAATTGGAATTTTTTCCTTGAAAAAAGACAGAACTGATTAATAAATTTGAATAGAAGGAGAATCATAGACGTAATGAAATGGAGAAGGTGGATAATACATATTGAAATGTGGTGCAATTACACATGATATTGCTGCAATTGATCGAAACCCATTCGTGTTGAACTCGTCATAAAAATTTTTAAAAATTTTCTTGATTGAAATGGAGTGCGCATTAAACATGTGTTATGATTGAATTAATTTTTTCAAATCTTGTTGGTATTTTTATACTTCATGCGTGCCTATTTCTCTCACGGTGATAAAAATTTGAATTATTTTTTCCAGATATATTTTTTCCCCTGTTCCATATAACGCACATCAACATCCGTCACCCAACAAAAAATCTACTTAAGTCTAAACAAAATAACTTTGATTATACCCTTAATTGTAATTTCATAAGGCTTTTTTAGTTTTTTTGCATT